GGAAGGTACGTTGTATTTTGGACCTTGAGGGGAAAACAAAAACCAAAACGAGAAAAAAAACCAAAAAACTTCCTTGTCCTCTTCCTTCCAAGGGACTGACACTAGCAAAATAATGCTTTCGAGCAACCTCTGCTTGGCTCTATGACAGCATTTGCCACACAGTTCTATAATTGTCAGTACTTCCCTGTTTATATGTACTCCTTAAACTTTGGGCATCTTCTTTTCTCCTTATTTTATTTTATTTTAATTTAGTTTAGTTTAGTTTTGTAGAGGCAAAGTATCCCTATGTTGCCCAGGCTGGTCTCGAACTCCAGGCTCAAGCAGTCCTCCCGCCTCAGCCTCCCAAAGTGCTGGGATTATAGGCATGAGCCACCGTGCCCGGCCTACTTTGGGCTTCTTAAGGGGTAAAAAGAACTTTTCATCAATTATTGTGTTCCTAGAATATTAGCATGATACCTAGTACATAATTATGTCTTGTTAAATAAATTAATGAATTCAATTCAATATTACCATTTCCTGTACCTAGTACAGTCATGCATTGCTTAACAATGGGAATATGTTCTGAGAAATGTGTAGTTAGGTGATTTTGTCATTGTACAAACATCATAGAATGTACCTACACAAACCTAGATGATATTTTATTTACATATATTTTGTAATACAGAAAATCAAATGTCCCAGCACCATTGCTGAATGCTAATTATTTCCCCAACTTGATCTGCAATGCCAATATCACATCAGGTTTCTAAATGTATGCTGCCCTATAATCTGATGGGACCACTGTTGTATATTCAGGCCATCTTTGACCAAAGCATTGTTACGCAGCTCATGACTGTATGTGCAAAGACTGCTAAGACCTGATGGGATCAGAGATGAAGGAGTCAAAGTTCTACCCTCAAGGAATTTATAGTCTTATGGGAGAAATAGATACAGGCTTAAAACGTTTAGGAACCAAGGCATGAGTGACAAATGTGATTTAAGTCAAAGCGACTTAAGCACAAAGTATTGTGAGACTTTCAAGGAGGACTAAGTGAAGCTGACTGAGGGGAAGAGGCAGGTTCCACAAAGAAAGTGGCATTTAAGCTGGGCCTGGTAGGACAGGCTAGTGATTTATCAATATAGGTCATCATTTTGGTGATTAAAAATAGGTGACTTTATGCTTATAATCCTAGCACTTGGGAGGCCAAGGCAGGAGGATCGCTTGAAACCAGGAGTTCAAGACCAGCCTGGGCAACAAAGTGAGACTCTCTGCCTCTGCAAAAAAATAAAATCAAGGCCGGGCGCTGTGGCTCACGCCTGTAATCCCAGCACTCTGGGAGGCTGAGGCTGGCGAATCACAAGGTCAGGAGATCGAGACCATCCTGGCGAACATGGTGAAACCCCGTCTCTACTAAAAATACAAAAAAATTAGCCAGGCGTGGTGGCAGGCGCCTGTAGTCCCAGCTTCTAGGGAGGCTGAGGCAGGAGAATGGCGTGAACCCGGGAGGCGGCAGAGCTTGCAGTGAGCGGAGATCACACCACTGCACTCCAGCCTGAGCGACAGAGCGAGACTCTGTCTCAAAAAAAAATAAAAATAAAAGTAAAATAAAATAAAATAGCCAAGAGTAATGGCATGTGCCTATATTCTCAGCTACTTGGGAGGCTGAGGCATTAGGATCATTTGACCCAGGAGTTTGAGGCTGCAAACGACTTATGACAGCACCACTACACTTCAGCCTGGGTGACAGAGCAAGACCTCATCTCAAAAAAAAAAAAAAAAAAAAAAAAAGGTGAATTTAAACAAATGCTTCAGAAAACATTTTGTCACCTTATAGATATTATATATCTTTATGGCCAAAGGCGAATGTTTTATACCTGGGCTCTGGAATTAGGACCTCAGAACCAAGATCAAGCCAAAATAGACTTGGTTCTTGGTACACCAATGGGGGAAGACATTGCTTCCATATATAGAAATACATACATTAAAGACATTCAATTCAGAATGTCCTAGCATGCTGCTATTTCTACGCTCTTTAAAAACAAAATAAAGACTGGTCACGGTGGCTCACGTCTGTAATCCCAGCACTTTGGGAGGCCAAGGTGGGTGGATCATCTGAGGTCAGGAGTTCGAGACCAGCCTGGCCAACATGGAGAAACCCCGTCTGTACTTAAAATACAAAAGTTAGCCAGATATGGTGGCATGCGCCTATAATCCCAGCTACTTGGAGGCTGAGGCAGGAGAATCACTTGAACCTGGGAGGCAGAGTTTGCAGTGAGCCAAGATCATACCACTGCACTCCAACCTGGGTGACAGAGCGAGACTCTGTCTCAAAAATTAAATTAAATTAAATTAAATTAAAAATAAAATAAAAATCTTCTCTTGACCCCACTTCCTTGACTATCACCCCGTTTCTTTGATCTGCTTTGCAAAAACCTCCTGAAGTGATCTCTCTGTTTTCTGTTCTTCTTCTCCCATTCTGACTTAAATCTACTCTTGTCATGCTTTCACCCCCATCAGTCTGTCAGGACCATTCTTGTCAAGGTCAACAGTGACTTCATTTTTACTCAATCTAATTGTCAACTTCTAGTCTTCTTTCTACCTGATGTATGACCAGCTTTTGATGCAGTTGACCATTGCCTCCTCTCTGTTATACTTTTCTCCCTTAATTTCTAGGATATTACTCCAATTTTCCTCCTACCTGACTGGTTATTCCTTTTCAGTCTCCTTTGCTGGTTCCTCCCTTCTTAGATCTCTTAATGTTGAAGGGCCCTTGGTCTTCTTCCCTGCCTACACTCCCTCTCTTGGTAATCATGTCTCATAGTCTCAAGGCTTTAAATGTAATCTATATTCCACTGATTCCAAAGTATTTATCTCTAGCCCAGACTGCTCCTGAACTCTATACATATAAATCTTCAACTACCTACTTAACATGTCTAAAACTGAACCCTGATCCTTCCTCCTGCCTCAATTAGAGACTTTACCATCTCAGTTGATAGTAACTTCATCCTTCTAGTCTCAAAAGCAAAAATCCTAGAAGTCATTCTTGGAGTCATCAGGAAGTCATGTTGGCTCTATCTTCAAAATATATGCAGGGTCTGGCTAGACATAGTGGCTCGCACCAGTAATCCCAGTACTTTGGGAGGTAGAGGCAGGAGGATCACTTGAGTTTAGGAGTTCAAGACCAGCCTGGGCAACATAGTGAGACCCTGTTTCTACAAAAAAGTCAAAAAATTAGTCGGGTGCGATGGTATACACCTGTGGTCCCAGCTACTCTGGAGGCTGAGGTGAGAGGATCACTTGAGCCCAGAAGATTGAGGCTGCAGTGAGCTGTGATCACTCCAGCTGGGTGACAGAACAAGACCCACCCCCCTCTCTCTATATGTATTTATGTATGTGTATGTGTGTGTGTGTGTGTATGTGTGTGTGTGTGTGTATATATATATATATGCAGAATCTTCTTATCACCACCTCTACTGTTCAAGTCACCATTGTCTCTCCAGCCACTTACTGTAGTAGGTTTCTACCTTGGACCTTCTTCCACCCTGGACTTACACAGTGCCCACCAGTGTGTTCTCAGCACTGCAACCAGTGTGATCTTTTTGCACTCCTTTGCTCAAAATCCTCCAAAGGCCTCTTATTTTACTCTGAGAAAAAGTTCAAGTCCTTGCAGTGTCCTGCAAGGCCCTTCATGATCTACCCCATCTCCCCATCCCTGCCCTTACTTCTCTAGCCTTATCTAGAGCTTCCTTGGTGTTCTCAGACATGCCAGGTGTGCTCCTCTACAGGGTTTTCACACTGGCCGTTCCCTCTTCCTGGTATGCTCTTCTCCCAGAAATGCACATGACTGATACATTCACCTTCCAGTCTTTGTTTAAATGTCTTTATTAAACCTTCTCAATGAAGCCTACCTTTACCACCTTTTTAAAACCTGAAGTCGGCCACCATTCCCATTATTCTTTATTTCCCTTACCTGTTTTACTTTTTTTGCCCCTGTAGTATGTATTACCTTCTAACATTCTATATAATTTACACTAGAATATAAGCTACAGAAGGGCAGGAATCATGGTCTCTTGTTTTGCAGCATATACCAAGCATCTGGAACAATGCTTAGCACATACTAGGCCTCTCGATAAATATTTATCAAATAATCATAGTTCTCTTTCTCCAGGACCCAAGTGCCTTGATTGTTTTTCACTCAGTTTGCTTATCCGAGCAGACAGCAGGGTAAGACAGGGAAAAGTAGGCTGATGATCGGGGTCTAGGGTCTAGCCTGGGGGCCACACTTGTTATTTGTATGACCATGGGCTAATTATAGTTGGGCTGGGTTTGTGAAAGTTTATTAAGCTATACTTATGATATATACATTTTTTGTATGTATATGTAAATTTTTAAAGTTTTCTATAATAAGACTCTCTGAAAGTAACTGCTAGTAACACTATGGGGAATATCTTCACATATTTTATCTCTATATGTAGACTTTTGAGAATAAAATTGAGATTCTACATGCTTTTTCACAAAACCATGCATCATGAATATTTTTCGTAACATGAATATTCTTCCGGAGCACGATTTTTAATGGTTATGCAAGTATTTAAAAAGAATAAGACACTGGCCACATGCATTGACTCACTCCTGTAATCCCAGCACTTTGGGAGGCCAAGGCAGATGGATTGCTTGAGCCCAGGAGTTCAAGACCAGCCTGGGCAACATGGGGAAACCCCATTTCTACAAAAAATACAAAAATTAGCTGGGCATGGTGGCATGCACCTGTAGTCCCAGCTACTTGGGAGACTGAGATGGGAGAATCACCAGAGCCTGGGAGGTCAAGGCTGCAGTGAGCTGTGATTGTGCCACTGCACTCCAGTCTGGGTGACACAGCAAGACCCTGTCTCAAAAAAAATAAAAACAAAAATAAAAAAAATAAGACATCATGCAGTGAACCACGGAAATATCATTCTTCCTTTTTTGAGAAGTTGAAATTTTATTTTAAGGGGTTTTGATTTCTTCCTTTTTCCTATAGGAGACATGGTCTCAAAGTACCGAGAACCTTTGATCCACACCTTCCTGAGGGGAGTGAGAGATCCCGACGGTGCTCACAGGGCCAGCAGCTTGGCCAACCTTGGGGAGCTGTGCCAAAGGCTGGACTTTCTGCTGGGCTCCGTGGTCCATGAGGTACTGTATTTTGATTCCTTTTTCTAAAACTTGTTTTCACTTGGACCTATGATGCATCTAGAGATTGGGAGTCAGGAGACCTGGGCTCTTTTTGCAGATCTGCCACTGCCTCCCTGTGAGACAGGGCAAGTGAGTCTTTGAACTTCCCAAAGCTTCATCTGTCTCACATGTATATTGAAAGTTATGTTAGTAAGGGCTGGGCATGGTGGCTTGCACCTGTAATCCCAGCACTTTGGGAGGCCAAGGCGGGTGGATTGCTTGAGGCCAGGAGTCTGAAACCAGCCTGGTCAACATGGCGTAACCCTATCTCTACTAAAAATACAAAAATCAGCCAGGCATGGTGGTACATGCCTATAATCCCGGCTACTCAGGAGGCTGAGGCAGGAGAATCCCTTGAACCCGGGAGGCATAGGTTGCAGTAAGCCAGGATCACACCACTGCACTCCAGCCTGGGCAACAGAGCGAGATTCTGTCTCAAAAAAACAAAAACAAAAAATTATGTTAGTAAGAATTTCATAGTTATAGCTGAGAGGAAGTCATCTTAACCTGCCTTAAGCAATAAAAGATGATTTATCATAGAGAGTCTGACGTAACTAACAGAATTGGAGAAACCTTTAGGAAAAGTAGATAGAGCTTTACCCTGAGTCTCTGGGACATCTGTGAGTGTTATCTCCACTCACAGAAAAATCTCGGGCAAATACTCTAATTGACCCTCTTTGGCCAAGGCACCGTGTATTCAGGGGGATGGTGTTGTTTACCAAAAAAACCATTTAAGTTCCATATTTTGCTCAGCATTTCACACCCAGTGCCTGCCTGGTATGTAGTAGGCAGTCAGTAAATTATTGAAAAGATGAATGGTGAACCATCAAAATGATAACCATGCAAGGTATTGGGACCAGAAGCTCTTCTGGTTTTAGAGTTTATTATTATTATTATTATTATTATTATTATTTTGAAACTGAGTTTCACTCTGTCACCCAGGCTGGAGTGCAGTGGCACAATCTTGGCTCACTGCAACCTCTGCCTCCTGGATTCAAATGATTCTCCTGCCTTACTCTCCCATGTAGCTGGGACCATGTGCCACCACACCTGGCAAATTTTTGTAATTTTAGTATAGACAGGGTTTCACCATGTTGGCCAGGCTGGTCTTGAACTCATGACCTCAGGCGATCCACCTGCCTCGGCCTCCCAAAGTGTTAGGATTACAGGCATGAGCCACCACACCTGAACTCAGGGTTTATTAATTAATGAAATGTGCATCTTGCCCCTGGCCTCTTTGAGTGTCTTTCTCTAGCCTCTTTTTTTGTTTGTTGGTTTTTTGTTTGTTTGTTTGTTTGTTTGTTTGTTTTGAGACGGAGTCTTGCTCTGTAGCCCAGGCTGGAGTGCAGTGGCACGATCTCGGCTCCCAGTTCAAGCAATTCTCCTGCCTCAGCCTCCGGAGTAGCTGGGATTACAGGTGCACGCCACCATGCCCAGCTAATTTTTGTATTTTTAGAAGAGACTTTGTGATCTGCTCGCCTCAGCCTCCCAAAGTGCTGAGATTGCAGGCATGAGCCACCACTCCTGGTCCCTCTAGCCTGGTTTTTTTTTGTTTTTTTTTTTTGTTTTTTTTTTTTTGAGACAGAGTCTGGCTCTGTCGCCCAGGCTGGAGTGCAGTGGCCAGATCTCCGCTCACTGCAAGCTCCGCCTCCCGGGTTTGCGCAATTCTCCTGCCTCAGCCTCCTGAGCAGCTGGGACTACAGGCGCCTGCCACCTCTCCCGGCTTATTTTTTTTTGTATTTTTAGTAGAGACGGGGTTTCACCATGTTAGCCAGGATGGCCTCGATCTCCTGACCTCGTGATGCGCCCGTCTCGGCCTCCCAAAGTGCTGGGATTACAGGCTTGAGCCACCGCGCCCGGCCCTTCTAGCCTGTTAAATTGTACCTTTACCCTGTATTTATGTACTTATCATTGTATCAGTGTATATCTTGAGTATCTGCTGTGTGTACCTACTCTGCTGTTTAGAGATGATGATAGACAGAAAAAGACTAGTTAACATATGGCCAGGAGTCTTTACTACCAATGTACATGACCATCTTAAGTTTTTAAAAGAAGAAGATGCCTTATAAATTATAAATAAGTAAGTGAAATACAATTTAAATTATCTTTTTCTTTTTTTTTTCAAATGCAGTCTTTAATTCTGTCGCCCAGGCTGGAGTGCAGTGGTGGAATCTTGGCACACTACAACCTCCACCTTCCAGCAACCTCCACCTTCCAGGTTCAAGCGATTCTCCCACATTAGCCTCTTAAGTAGCTAGGATTACAGGCATGCGCCACCACGCCTGGTTAATTTTTGTATGTTTAGTAGAGACAGTGTTTCACCATGTTGGCCAGGCTGGTCTTGAATTCCTAGACTCAAGTGATCCTCCTGCCTCAGCCTCCCAAAGTGCTGCGTGATGTCGGATTTTTCTTCTTAGTCACTTTGCAAGCCAGGGACCTCTGGCTGGGAATGCCCCATCCTGGCCTCACTTGGCTATGCTGGCGTGCCCCGGCTCACCTGTGTTATAGCTTGTACCACATTCAGGGTTCCCAAGCTCTTGTACCGCACCCAAGAAAAATGAGGATACACTGAACATTGAAGGGTGAAGAGGGTGGAGAAGAATTTTATTGAGCGATGAAACGACTCTCAGCAGAGAAGGGAGCTGGAGAGAGGATGTGAAGGGGCAGGTTGTCTTCCCTAAAATCAAGTTGTCTCTTCCCTGAAGTCAACCCATTTCCTCCTCTATTGACTGAGTCTGGGGTCTTCATAGGCACATGACGCATGCTGATTGGTTTGTGAGTATGCAAAAAAGGTTAAAACAAGGCACCACTCAAAGGTGGGCCTGACAGTATAGAAAACCAGTTAGGAAATGGTAGGTGTATGTAAAATAGGTGAAGGGTGGGCACTAATCAGAGGAAAATGTGCCAAACAGGAAGACAAGTTTTCAATTCAGTCTGAGAATTTAACTTGTAGCTTAGCTTTTGGGCTTTAAACTGTCTTCAGCTTGGAGGTGGGGTTGCACTGGGCACCTGCCCCTATCCGCCTAGGTGTTTGGCTGCCGCCTGTAGATATCACTGGGATTACAGGCATGAGCCATTGCACCTGGCCTTTTTTTTTTTTTTAATCTTTAAGCAAAAACTCTTTAAGACCAGGTATGATTTCTCATTTTCTATTCTTGGCATAAATTTTAATTCTTTCTAGTGGAACCAAAACCTCCTGAACCCCTTTCAGTGTCATCCAAATCTTAAACTTCTATTTCTGGTTAAAAAAATTTAGTTCACAAATGAGCTATGCAATTTGATGACCTTTTTTGACTTCAAACTTTTCTTTTTTTTTTTTTTGACACATTGTTTCACTCTGTTGCCCAGGCTGGAGTACAGTGGCATGATCTCAGCTCACTGCAACCTCTGCCTCCCGGGTTCAAGTAATCCTCTTGCCTCAGCCTCCCAGGTAGCTGGGATTACAGGCACCCGTAACCACACTCGGCCAATTTTTGTATTTTTAATAGAGACAGGGTTTCACCATGTTGGCCAGGCTGGTCTCAAACTCCTGACCTCAAGTGATCTACCCACCTCAGCCTCCCAAAGTGCTGGGATTACAGGCTTGAGCCACCACGCCCCACCAACTTCAAACTTTTTTTTGCCAAAATTAAATAGTACACAATCAACATGTACACTATAATCTTTCTCTCTGACACCAGTTCCTACATCTAGAAAGTGTTTTGCAGCCAAACCAGACCATGGAGCCACTCTTCCATAACACCCAGAAGGAAGGGCTGTCTGAGTGTCCATTTTCACAAGAGCTTTCTCTGTAGGTGGTATTGTATCATCATAGGTACTGTACAGGTCATAGCTCGCAACCTGCATGGACCCCCAGGTTGAGGCCATGGGGTGTTCAGAGAGCCAGACAAAGCAAGCTGCGTGCTGCCTTCCTCTGTAGGCCAGGCCTGCTAGCTGGGGGAAATGGCAAGTGTCTTATCAAAGCAGGGCATGGCAGAGCGAGAAGGTGAGTAGAAGAGAGGATCAAATCTGTTTGTTTGTTTGTTTACAGTGGTGGAATCTTGGCACACTACAACCTCCACCTTCCAGCAACCTCCACCTTCCAGGTTCAAGCGATTCTCCCACATGAGCCTCTTAAGTAGCTAGGATTACAGGCATGCGCCACCACGCCTGGTTAATTTTTGTATGTTTAGTAGAGACAGTGTTTCACCATGTTGGCCAGGCTGGTCTTGAATTCCTAGACTCAAGACTCAAGTGATCCTCCTGCCTCAGCCTCCCAAAGTGCTGGTGGTGTCGGATTTTTCTTCTTAGTCACTTTGCAAGCCAGGGACCTCTGGCTGGGAATGCCCCATCCTGGCCTCACTTGGCTATGCTGGCGTGCCCCAGCTCACCTGTGTTAGCTTGTACCACATTCAGCGGTTCCCAAGCTCTTGTACCGCACCCAAGGAAAATGAGGATACACTGGATATTGAAGGGTGAGGAGTCTTCAACGTGATGGAGTCTTGCTTCAATTGTGATGGAGTCTTGCTCCGTCACCTGGGCTGGAGTGCAGTTGTGTGATCTTGACTCACTGCAGCCTCCGCCTCCGAGGTTTCAGGAGTGAGAGGATCAAATCTTAAGAAGGATCTACTGAGGGGGAATTTTCCTTTTTCCTTTTTCTTTTTTTTTTTTTTTTCGTGAGATGGAGTCTCCCTTTGCTCCCCAGGCTGTAGTACAGTGGTGTAATCTCGGCTCACTGCAACCTCCACCTCCTGCATTCAAGCGATTCCCCTGTCTTAGCCTCCTGAGTAGCTGGGATTACAGGTGTGAGCCACCATGCCCGGCTAATTTTTGTATTTTTGGTGGAGATGGGATTTCGGCATGTTGGCCAGCTGGTCTCGAACTCCTGACCTCAAGTGATCCGCGTGCCTCAGCCTCCCAAAGTGCTGGGATTACAGGCATGAGCCACTGTGCCCAGGCCTGAGAGGGAATTTTTTTCAATG